AAATAAAAACGGACTTTATTGAATCTCCCATTAGATGGTAGCAGTTCATATTCTCTGTTCAGAACATGCTTTGGGTCCCAGATGATGCTGTTGGACAGGTTATTATGGTATGCTGAGTCATCAAGTCTCTGACAGGGTTGAACAACAATCTCTTACCTGTAGTCGAGGAGCTCTGACTCCAGCTGCAGGATGTGTCTCTGCAGAACTGGAACATGATTGGCTTTGGCCTCCAGTTCCTTCACCTTCCCCAGACCGTTGAGCAACGCCTGCCTGGCCTCCTCCACCTTCCTCCTCATGCCCACCTGCTCCCTCTTTAGGGTTCGGTTGCAGTCCTCCAGAGCAGCCACAGTCTCTCTAGAGCTCCACAGCTCCTGCTCCAGTCTCCCGTTACTCAACATGGCCTCCTCTGCATGTCGCTCTCTGGATCCTCGCAGCAGCTCGATCTCCTGGATGATGTTCTGCAGACTCTTCAGGTTGCTGTTGCTCAAACCGTGCTGGGCTTCTTGTGTTTGGAGAGCAGCGACGCAGCTTTCCTCTGGTTTATGTTTGGAGTGGCTCTTCCATAGTCCTACCTGAAAATACGATAGCATCAAGATATTATAATATCTGTTTTCTTTTTTTTATTACAGCCAAATTGTATTCCATATTTTATTCCATTCTATTTCTATGTAAATACTGCTATACTTTCCTATATCTTTTATTATTTTTTACATTTTTTAATGTTATTATAGTTCTCTATCTGTGTTTTTTAAATTTTTGTTTTACTTTTCTGTATGCACCATGACATCAAGACAGACATTTTGGGGACATTTCTGAATTCTGAAAGGATAATGAAATACGGCCCACAAATGAAACTTGTGCTTGTCTTGAATTGTACTTCTTAAATAGATAAGTGAACATATCTATCTGAATTTCTTTTTATAAATTCAGTCAATTAAAGTTGCAAACATTTTCTAATAAATCTAACTTGATAAGAACAAAGCTCAATAACTTATTTGAATAACAAGCTTGAAATACACCCTTCATATTACCCCTAATTATAAGAAATCTGAGGCTGCTGTTTTAAGGAATGAGCTGCCAACAAAAGAAAGTAAACCGTAAGGAGAACTGTGATGTAGGCGGTTACTTTTTCTTGAAGCATATTCAAGTAACAAGCATTATTGAACTACTTTTAATTAATTTAGCTGACTTATAACTTAACTTATGAGGCAATATACCTCCACTCTAGTGAGGGGTCCTTCGTATATGTCCTGTATGTGGCCTTCGGTGAAAAAGGTTTGGACACCCCTGCTTTAACTAATGGTAAATGGACTGTATTTATATAGTGCTGTATCCAGTCTGTACAACTCCTCAGTTAGCATTCACCCCTTCTCACACATTCTTAGAGTTCATACATTCATACAAGATGCTCCTGCTCAAAGGAAGCTAACATTCACAAACTGTTGGCTGTGCAGTTGGGAACAACTTAGGGCGAAGTACATATCTTTCTCAAGAGCACATCTGCAACATGTCGATAAAACAGTCGGCATGATGACTGCAGGGGCTGGAAACCAATCCTCAACCTTCCTTGATGACTTATAGATAAGTTGGAAACAAGAGCTTTTTGGGATTGTCGGCTGTGGAAAATCTCTCATACGGTCAATGATGAGTCTGTAATGAATCATTACTTGGAATTTAATATAAACGACTAAAGGCTAATGATAATAAGAAATGTATACTTGTCTGTTATAACTCAATGGTTTGCCAGGTTGTGATTGATGTGATGATTTAAGAGGACACCTTTCGTAAACTAAATATCTTGGTTTCTTATCTTTTAAGGTTACATTGTTCTGTTGTTTTACATAATACCCTTAATAAAAAAACATCTTAATATTTATGTATTACTCTTTTATTTATTTGCATTGCATTTGATATTGAGGTAATCCAAAAGTAACAGAAAGTAATCTGATTAGGTAGAAGGCTTCTTTTACATTATACGAATATCAGGTGTAAATAGTAACTAAGTACAATTTTGAGATACTTGTACTTTACTTCAGTATTTCCGTTTTCTGCTACTGTGTACTTCTACTCCTCTACAGTTCAGAGGTACATGGTACTTTTACTCCACTACATGTATTTAATACCTTTAGTTACTTTACAGATCTGGATGAAGGATGGTAAATATAATCAGGTGTTAAATCAGACTTTAGTTCCACCTGGAGTAAATCCACAAGCTACCCTGCAGTATACAAAGTCATTCAAACTAGCTGCACCTTTACCAGCTTTGAGAACACTTTCATGATCAATCATTATAAAACATATCATATATATTATTCTGAAATGGACCAATCTGCACAACGACTACTTTTACTGTCGCTACTTTCACTATATTTTGATGAGAATACTTTTCTACTTTCCCTGGTTTTAAAAAGTTTTTTTTTTTTGGGGGGGGGTTCCTTTATTAAAAAAAAAACCGTGGGAAAAAACCTTTTGTTTTTTTTTTTAAAAATTTTTTTTTTTTTTAAAGAATAAAAAAAGGGGGGGGGGTGCGAAAAAGTGACCCTTTTTTTTTTTTAAAAAAAAAAAAAAAAAAACTCCCCTTTTTTTTTAAAAAAAGGGGTTTTTTTTTCTTTTCTTCCCGAAAAAGGAAGCCCAAAAAGGGGGGGTGGGTTTTTTTTTTTTTTGACCCCGCGGGGTTTTTTTTTTAAAAAAAAAAAAAAAAAAAAGGTCAATAAATAATTTTTTTCTTCCAACCGAAAAAAAAAAAAGTTTTTAAAAAAAAAAAAAAAAAACTTTTTTTTAAACCCCCCTTTTTGAAGTTTTTTTTTCGGGTGCCCAAAAAAAAAATAAAATAACCCCTCCCCCCCTTTTTTTTAATTTAATTTTTTGATTTTTTCCGTTTTCCCCCTTTTTCTTTTTGTTTTTTTTTTCCTTTTTGCCCCTTTAATTTTTTTTTTTTGTTTTTTTTTTTTCCGGAAAAAAAAAAAATAAATTTTTTTTTTTTTTATGAAAAAAAAAAAGAAAAAGGGAAAAACCCTTAAAAAAAAGAAAAAAATTTTTTTTTTTTTTTTTTTTCGAACATTTTAAAAAAAAAAAAAAGGGTTAAAAAAAAAAAAGGTTTTTTTTTTTTTTTTTTTTATTTTGGGGGGCCCCCAAAAAAAAAAAAAAAAAAAAAAAAAAAAAAAAAAAAAAAGAAAAACCCAAAAAAAGAAACCAAAAAAAAAAAAAGAGAAGAGGAGAGAGACCGTTTTTAAAAAAAAAACCCCTTTTTTTTTCCCCTTTCGGCCCGTTTTTTTTTTTTTTTTTTTGGGGGGGTGGGGTCAAAAAAAAAAAAAAAAAAAAAAATTTTTCCCCGAAAAGTCGTCCCCCCCTGTTTTTTTGGTACTAAGAGTTTTGATCTAAGTAAAAATAACTACCTCGACTAAAGGGTTAGTTTAAAAGTTCCAATATTTTAGTGATATATAGGGAAATGGTCCATTTTATTTAGAAAATGATGCCTGACTGTGGAACCGGGTTTTCCCGTGGGTACTTGTTTTCAAAGTTGGTATTGGTTTCAGGTATCTCCACCTTCATCACCTCAATGTTTAATGAGAGTCGCGAATGACCGTAATGATATGTCAATTGTACAAAAGTACCCATGAAAGTCAGCATATAATGAGGCTGTTATAAATAAAAAAGACCTGGGAAATTAAAATATTGAATATCTTTTGGGTCTGCGGGTCAAATTACTGCCATGAAAAATGAGCTTCATGTAAAAGTTCGTGGAGGATATATGAAACCTGAACTCCATGTTCTTCAAAATCAGTCATGAAGATGAAATAGGTGGTCTCATAAAAATTTGTACTTCATAGGACAATGAGAGTAATGACGCTCGCATTTTCGCTACACACGGATTGAAAACGGTAGAGATCCAGTATACGTTTATTTTCTTGTACAATTTTTTGTATCCGTGTTTAAAATTTTGTATAAACAGTAGATAAGGAAAGTTCATGCAAGGGAGTGGAGCTGTTTTTAGACTCGGAAGTCGAGAGGGAGAGTTCTCTCAGGTTAAGGACCTCCACACGCATCCCCGTCCCGGGACTTTTAATGAACCCGAGGAGGTTTAGCTCTAAGTCGGAAGGGGGCCCTACCCGCCGAGGACGGGCCACCTCTGGCGTGGTTACCCCTCCGGGCCCAAGAGACGAGGCCCGCACTCTCGTCCCTTCGGCTGACAGATCCTATTTATGTCCCTCCTTCTTCGTTTTGTATAATTAATACCAAATAGTTGTGATAATGTGTGACGGTTATTAAAGGGTATGAAAATAACGTTTAGATAAATTTTAATGACGAAAGATAAAATAAAAAACGTATAGAATAAAAAGAATAAAAAAACATTAGCCAATAATATCACATTAGAAATTATTTATCACAAGCGCATAGACACGAAAGAAAGTTTAAACAACATACGATGTAATATACGATACGTGGTGCTGTGCTTTCAGTTTAGAGGAACAAACACGAAGTTGATGACTCAATTATTTGGACAAAAGACTATACTATCTTATGAACAATCCATCAAATTGAAATACTTATACACCGACGAGGTAGCTACCTCTAAACACACTTTATTGAACTAACCTAAACTCACCTAAGTATAATCATCGATGAGCCAGTGCGTACATCCGAAGTCCGTCTAACGTATCTAACTACAACGATTAGAAAGACAAAACAATTTAACTCAAAATACGTAGTCGCCCAACGGTGACAACCACCAAGACAAACCAATTTTTGACGTTTAAACCTAATCAAGATAACAATGGAAAAAAAAGTAACCCTCCAGACTGTCAGGCAGGTAAAAATATAACCTCAGAAAAAAATACTAGCCTATCTCCACATTCTGACCAAAGACAACGAGACAATAACCTAATTTCTGCATAACATTAGTCACTTTTTATTATGTTTAATCAAACATAGTATTTTTGGTGTCAAGTTTTAGACTCTTACCCTTAAATGTAAGTACTTTTGAGGTAGACGTTTCGATTGGTTCAAATAACATATTTATAAACCGTGTGAATAGACCAAAAGAACGTTTTTCATGAGTCAAGAACCTGAACTATTCATCTTAATGAGTCATGAACATGAACTCCATTTCTATCTTCGATGGAGCCTAGAACAGTGAACTCATTTTCATCTTTTCTAGTTCTAGAACATGAACTCGAATTTTTCATCCTTCATGAGGTCCTAGGAATCACGATCATCATTTCATCTTCATTGAGTCTAGAACATGAACTCATTTTCATCCTTTCATGAGTATAGAACATAGAAGTCATGCTCATCTTGCAGTCCTAGAACACGATCTCCATCCTTTCATGAGTCTAACATGAATCATTTTCATCTTCATGAGTTCTAGAAAAATCGAAATCATTTTTCATCTTAATGAGTCTAGAACATGACTCATTTTCATCTTCAAGGTCTCACAACAACATGAACTATTTTCATCTTCATGAGTCTAGAAGATGTAAA